TTTTTTTTTTTTTTTTTTTTGAGACGGAGTTTCACTCTTGTTACCCAGGCTGGAGTGCAATGGCGCGATCTCAGCTCACCGCAACCTCCGCCTCCCGGGTTCAAGCAATTCTCCTACCTCAGCCTCCTTAGTAGCTGGGATTACAGGCACGTGCCACCATGCCCAGCTAATTTTTTGTATTTTTTCAGTAGAGACGGGGTTTCACCATGTTGACCAGGATGGTCTCGATCTCTTGACCTCGTGATCCACCCGCCTCGGCCTCCCAAAGTGCTGGGATTACAGGCTTGAGCCACCGCGCCCGGCCTGGAATTAAACTCTTAATGAGGCATTGACAAGGATAGTTTTTCAGGGTCTCCCAGTACCATCAAGGAAGAGACTGGCTCTGATGTACTGACCCCTTAAGCCAGACAGATATTTTCATGAGCAATGAGCTTACTGTGGTACCACAAATTAATAACCTTGTTAAAACCACACAATTCCCTCTTTTTGAATCTAGTGCTCATCAGCCAATTATTCTAACTTAATTCAACCTTACTTTAGTGGGAAGGGAGTACAGAAAGCAGGTGACCCTGGTGCTCTGGGAGGTATGTGGTATGGTAAGTATATATGAGACATGATCTCATTTGTAAGTGAGCCTCCTATAGATTTGATTATCATGAGCCAAGCCAACTGATGAGCTCAACTGGCGCTAATTTAACAAATTTAAATTTCAGAACCTACCTGCAAATTTGAAAAATCACACCCAAAACAGAAATGGTTAACAGCAAGAACCACCATAATGATTCCTTAAAACACCAAATTTTAAAATGACCTATTCGTTGCTATTTTATTTTCCTTCCTTCCCTCCTTCCTTCCCTCCTTCCTTCCTTCCTTCCTTCCTTTCTTTCTTTCTTTCTTTTTCTTTCTTTCTTTCTTTTTCTTTCTTTCTTTCTCTTTCTTTTTCTCTCCTTCCTTCCTTCCTTCCTCTCTTTCTCTCTTTCTTTCTTTCTCTCTTTCTTTTTCTCTCCTTCCTTCCTTCTTTCCTTCCTGCCTGCCTTCCTTCTTTTTTTTCAGACAGTCTTGCTCTGTTGCAATGGCACCATCTTGGCTCACTGCAACCTCCGCCTCCCAGGTTCAAGCCATTCTCATGCCTCAACCTTTCAAGTAGCTGGGATTACAGGCTCCCACCACCACGCCTGGCTAATTTTTGTATTTTTAGTAGAGACGGGATTTTGCCATGTTGGCCAGGCTGGTCTCGAACTCCTGACCTCAGGTGATCCACTTGCCTCAGCCTCCCAAAGTGCTGGGATTATAGGCATGAGCTACCGCGCCTGGCCTGTTATTGTTCTCTTGAGGAGGAAGTAGAATTGGTGTTTGTTCTATGGTCTGGATACATTGTGTGGGTGATCGTTGAGAGTTTTGGGACTGATTGGTTTGGACACTTTCACAAGTCCTCAGCCATCAAACTTTTTGATTCTTTGTGTGATTGCTGAGATATTAGCTATGAAAAGTAACCACCAGCACAGCCTTAGAAAAATGTTTTAAGATGTTACTTGATAAAGTGATTCAGTCTTTCAGAAAGCTTACATCTGTGACTATCCAGGTAAGGCATTAGGTTTTAGAGAAAGGGATGGAAAGTTGAAGGAATGTCCAATTTAAAAAAATATGGCATATTGCAGCATATTCAAGATAAAGAATGTCCTTTAGAGAATATTATTTTTCATTAAGACTTGATATTACTATGTGAACTGGAAATAAGTAAACTATTAATAGACTTGCTAGGGTTTTTACTTATTAAGTATAACGAACACTGAATATCTACTATTATATGGCATGGGTTAAATAAATGTTCCTTTTTACACAATGTAAGTGCAAGATACTGTCAAAGTAATTTTCATAATCATTTCAAAAGCCAGATAAAGGCACTTGCCATAAAGGTTGTAATGTTTTTTAAATGTCAGAGCAGAGCAATTATAAGAGTTAGGGCACATTTTGTTATTAATTTGTCACTCTTACTATGACATTAACTTCCTTCCTCCAAATTGCTCGTTTGCCATTTTTCCAGTTCGAACTGCGTGAGGAGCTTCACGATGGACATTGCCTCATTGCCCTTCCTTCCTTCCTTCCTTCCTTCCTTCCTTCCTTCCTTCCTTCCTTCCTTCCTTCCTTCCTTC